ATGCATTATTTGTAACGTTTTATCACCAGGACCAGGACTCAGTCCCGGATCCCTAGTCCGGGATCTTGATTCTGTTGTGGATTCGGACTTCGTACTTTCTGGATGCTTGTAGAATACAGGTTCTACTTTATATCACATCTTATTTCTACTCAATATGGGGTTGGTTGGGATAATCGGATTTGAGTAGCATGTCATGTCACCGGATCCTCAATCCTCGCTCTCACGTTTCCGACTAAGGTAAACTCGACATAGTTCAAGTATATATCAAGTTGACGTGTTTACGTACAGGCGTAAAACCCCCCCACCCCGACTGCATACTACTTATATATATATACAGATTGTGTCACAAGTAGTATAGTATACACAACATACCAGTAGTAATTAACTTTCTTTCCGTATTTATTTTTTTCTCTCCTCCTATTTTCAAGGCATATCGTTTGGAACCATTACTATTGAAACATTATGCTAATATTAGTCCTGTTGTTATACCGAAAGCATCAGTGAATCATTTAGAGAAATGTTTATCAATTAAAGATATTTCAATGATCAATACTACTAATAATACTACTACTAACAATAATAATAATAATCATAGTCAAACACCAACTTTAATAGGTTCGAATACATCATTAGCTACTATAAATAATGATATTGAATCATTGCATACATTGGATTTATCTGATTCGGACTCGTCCAACTCTTCATCCGATTTATCATTAAATGATTCACATAGCAGTGGTGGAGGTGGAGGTGGTGGTAGTCGTGGAGGCGGCGGCGGCGGCAGTAAAAATCATCATCCTGATCAGAAGGAACAAAAGAAAAAGGTAGGTAATAAAAAAATGACAAGATTTCTTTTTTGATTGATTAACTAATTCATGCATTCATTGATTTGATTTGAATTCATAGTGTCAGTCAGTTAATCAGTCAGTCTGTTAGTCAGTGACAATGCAGTCAGTCGGTCAGTCAATCAGTGACAATGTGAAACTTCGTACATGAATACATAAGTTCAGATGGCCATACCACATTAGCACAGAGACGCAAATGTCAATTGAAATCCCATAGTGATAAAGATAGTAGAGGTATTAATGGTAGTAATGAAGAAGACTAGGGTTTGAAGATATTATTGAAGAAGTATAATTCGGTGAGATAAGGTTAGAAAGAGACAGAGTTGCTGACGAATCTAGAAGATTACGATTTGAGAGAAAACAAAGAGTGGATGCACCTGTGCCATTGTAAACGATTTTGAGCCATTTTATTCAAAGTCCTCTAACTATTGATGACTTTCATCACGTGGACCCCAACCAGATAGTCTACATCTACTAACATGACTCAGTCGACTCAGTGTTATGAATGTCTAACCACCGACTGCCTCGTCGAGCGACGTTCTGTGGTGTAGTAATAGGTTGGAAGAAAGCTAGGAGTGGCCAAACCAAAACATGGCAGAAATACATAAAGTCACTGACAACTGGATTGAGTCATGTTGGTCGATGTAGGCTACATGGTTGGGGTCCGCAAGACGAAAGTCACCAATGGTTAGAGACCTTGAACGACATGGCTCAAAATCGTTTGCAATGGCGCCGGTGCATTTATTCGTTGTGCTCTCTCAAATCCTAATCTTCTGGATTCGTCATCACTTTCTCTACCGTTGTCTTTATAACCTTATCTCACTGAATTATACTTCTTCAATAATATCTTCAAACTCTAGTCTTCTTCATTGCCATTAATACCTCTAGTATCTTTATCACTATGAGATTTGATTTGACATTTACGTCTCTGTGCTAATAATGTGATATGGCAACATGAACTTATGTACATACGTACGAAGTTCTACGTTGCAACTGACTGACTGACTCAGTCGACTTATATGTGACTTCATAGATTTGTTTTGGTTTGGCCGCCCCTTAGCTTTCTTCCAACCTACTCACTCCTACATCGTGCAACATCGCTCGTTGAAGTAGTCGGTGGTGTTAGGCATACGTAACACATGTCTCAACCACCTCAACTGAAAAAGTTTCATTACTTATCTATTGATCTGTCATCCTTACCTAGTAGTAGTATCCCTCTCCTAACAACAGCGCTGCTTACGCGTTAGTGCCAGAATATTCGAGCAATAGTTGGAAGACACCTATGATCAAATACTAAGAGCCTACCAATATTCTTTACCCTTACTAGCCATGTTTCAATCGATACTTTGAAGAACAGAAAGCAACAGTATGATAGTTCCTTTCTCTTTCACACAAACAAATACAAGTAATCTTCTAGTATGCTCTTTTAATGAATATTCAAGAAGCTTGAAGATAATTTCTATTGATTAGCAACACGATATATTGTATTTTTATTGGTAAATATTTGTTTAAGAAACAATCAGTTTATTTGTGAAAAAATAAATTGATCATTTTTATTTATTTGCATAAAGTAAGATTTTTATCTATGCACCGCTTTATTAATGTTAAATCATCTAAATAGATTGACTAGTCATAGTGTAGTGAAGGAGAACACAGGTGGGGCACCCGAATTGTATTTAACGAAAATTACAGAGTTACTCAGTAAAATAGGAAAGCCGTATCGTAAATTGTTAATTTGCAAAATATCAGTTCATCATATCGAACTGGACTGTTCCTGTTGCAAAACATCAATCCATTGTCACTATTCATGCGTTTCATACAAATTCCATTGTGTTCTAACTCTTCGTTTCTTAATCTTTCCCCATCTTCTGCTGCCAGACATTATGTTGACACTCACGTCATATACTACTTATAAGTAGCTCACACCACAATAGTATGAATCGTTACTTACTTGCTTACGCTTGCTTCCTCTAATGGAGCAAAGGCCACCAACTAGTATTCACCTACCTACCTACCTTGTCCTAAGCCTTCCTTTCTAGTTCTCAGTCAGTTAGTTACAACGTAGAACTTCATACATGAGTACACAGGTTCAGATTGCCATACCGCATCGGCACAAGGACGCAACTGTCAGTTCAAATCCAAGAGTGATAGAGATAGTGGCAGTGTTGGCAGTAATAGAGAAGATTAGGATTTGGAGATATTATTCAAGAAGTATAATTCAATGAAATAGATTTGAGAAGGGAGAAAGGAAGGAGATGAATAATTCAGTAGATTAGATTTTGAGAGAATACAAAGAGTGGAGGCACTTGCGCCATTGCCCCCTAGCTTTTTTCCAACTTACTCCTACATCACAAAACATAGATTGTTGAGGCAGTTGGTGGTTGGGCATACGTAACACATGTCCTAACCACCTTAACTGATGAAGTTTCACCACTTCATCTATTGATCTGTCAAACTTACCTACTACTTGTTTCCTAACTATAGCATTGCTTACTCGGTTGTCCCACGATAAACGAGCAATGCTTCAAATTCATCTATGATCGAATACTAACAACCTACGAATATGTTCAACTCTTTCAGGCCATGTTTCATAGTCATTAAGTAGAACGGAGCGAACTACTGAGCAGTACACTCGTCTTTTGGTTAGCAAACAGATATCTCGTTGACGCCATAAATGACGTGAATTGGCAAAGCTAATCGAGCCTTCTGAGATTTCGTCAATCACCAAGTAATCAGTACTGATGAGACGCCACAGATACCTTTCTAGTTCAGGTTCCTCAAGAAATACCCTTTCACAGTGTGGGCAGCCATGACATCCACCCTCATACCCGTAACAGCACGTGAGACATTTCTAGTTCTACCCAATTGTTGCTCATTCTTTTCGTACCTGTCTCCATTTCTCAACGTATTGTGTTCTTGCGTCTTTCTCTTTTCCTTTGACTTTGAGGATTCCCAGTTACGGCTTGCCTTGTCATGCAGTTTGATAATGTTTTTAATGTGTGTTCGATTCAACTCCAATGGTTGTTCTCAATTTCGTCTTCAGCTGTAATCTGATTTCTTCTCTTCCACAGTAGGTTGTTGCTGATTGTGTTTCAAAGTGACAGGCATTTATAAATGCAACACAATTTATTGTTAATTTATGTCAGCTTTTGTATATAACTGGAAATCTCAGTAGCTTGGTTGGTATATTTACTGAACAGTTTATTTGTTTTAAATGTTTATTTGAACAAGTAATCTCATGAGATACTTCAAATTTGAGAATGAAACATTCAGAATTATTAAACCATTGAAAATAGAACAAAACATTACTTGCGATCTTGGCTAAATTGACAGCTCCACACTGACACAATACTTACCCGATCAGCCCTACAACACTAGCCAAGTCAGTCACTCATTTGCAACGTAGAACTTCGTACGTATGTACATAAGTTCATGTTGCCATATCACATTAGCACAGACATTCAAATGTCAAATCAAATCCCATAGTGATAAACATAGTAGAGGTATTAATGGTAATGAAGAAGACTGCGGTTCGAAGATATCATTCAAGAAGTATAATTCAATGAGATAAGGTTAGAAAGACAAAGGTAGCGAAAGTGCTGACGAATCCAGAAGATTAGGATTTGAGAGAACACAAAGAATAAATGCACCGGCGCCATTGCAAAGGATTTTGAGCCATGTCGTTCAAGGTCTCTAACCATCGGTGACTTTCGTCTTGCGGACCTCAACCAGGTAGTCAACACCTACCAACATGACTCAATCCACTTGTCAGTGACTTCATGGATTTGTACCATGTTTCGGTCTGGCCGCCCCTAGCTTTCTTCGAACCTACTCCTACATCACAAAACATAGCTCGTCTAGGCAGTCGGTGGTTAGCCATACGTAACACATGTCCCAACCACGTCAACTGATGAAGTTTCACTACTTCATCTATTGATCTACCATCCTTACCTATAACTCGTTTCCTAACGACAGCATTGCTTACTCGGTTGTCTCACGATATACGAGCAATGCTTCTTAAATATTTATGATCGAATACTAATAACGTAGGAATGTCCTCTACTCTTAACGGCCATGTTTCACAGCCATATAGGAGAACGGAGCGAACTGCTGCGCAGTACACCCGTTCTTTGTTTAGCGGACGGATATCACGCCTACGCCATAAGTGACGCAAGTTGGCAAAAGCCAATGGAGCCTTCTGTATCCGCGCTGAGATTTCGTCAGTCACCAGGCTATTAGCACTGATGAGACTCCCAAGACAAGTGAAGTGATCAACACGCTCGACTGCTTCACTCCCTATCACTAGTTCAGGTACCGATGTAACCCAGTCTTGAATCAACACTAGCCAAACACGATATCGATCACTATTCAACGATCCAATCTTAATCTCTTTTTAATTGATATAGAAAATTCAGTGAAAATCTCAAATACTTACTTACTTACGCCTATTAGCTTTAATGAATCATAGGCTGCCGACCAGCTCTCTTCAACCTACTCTATCCTAGGCCTCCCTTTGTAGTTTTATCCAATTATCCTTCATTCTACGCAGTTCTGTCTACGATTTTTGGCGTGATGTGTTCCACATTTCCTTTTGCTTAGAGGATTCTGAATGAGGGCTTGTCTTATGACTCAGCTTGGTACTTTTCTAAATGTATGTCCTATCTACTACTTCCAGCGCTTTTTCCTGATTTCTTCCTCCGTTCGAATCTGGTTTGTTCTCTCCCACAGAAGGTTATTGCTGTTGTTGTCTGGCCAACAGATCCGGAGTATTTTGCATAGACAACTGTTAATCAACACTTGTCAATTACCCTTAGTTCATTGATCATGTTGCTCAAATTTCGTCAGATCCCAGGTCTCACTACACAGACTGTGATTTTAATCATCTGGTATAATATTATTTTATAACTCTCAGACAAAGTCATTCCCGCATATCTAATCTTAATTACATATGGGTTGCATTTAATTCAAGTATTAGAATACCAAAACTTTGTCTTTTTTAATCCAAATTTCATTTATTTATCATCAGATGTTCTATTTTCACTATAAACCTGATTTATCCTGATCATTTAATACCTTCTCATGTAATCAACGAAGGTGTACTTAGAGAATGAACAAATTATCAGCTAAAAATTCTTAATTCTTTCCTTCTTCAAACTGTCATTTACAAAACAATCAGATTATTGACTGTCTTCTTTCACATGTTATTGGGTTCGTCACTTAGTATGCTTGAGGCTATTACGAGTTTACCTTAGTCGATAAACGCGAACGAGACTTTTACCAGCGTCCAGATAGGCTACCTTGATTCCCAAGCTGTAAACAGAAGGCTTTGTAAGCGTAGAAAGTATATTCTACAAACACCCAGCAATGACACTATGCAATCAAGTATACAACTCTCGTTTATTTATACATCATAGAAACGTCCTTGGGACAGTTACGAAAATAGCATACTAAAATACACAGCAGCCAATCACAGCCATGGATTTCCCTGGAGGGAGTTGAAATCTCAAGGTCAACTGATCAGCCCATGCTGGCAAACGCAGAATCCAAAATAAGGCATTTAACAAGCGAGTTTTGGGGATCTAATATCCCCAACACATGTCTTCTGATGTTCAAGAAAACAAAACACACTTTGCTTGCATTATACATTCTCGGATCCGACACTCGTCTCGTTGGTCGTAACTTATGGGCCACATTCCTTTACACGACTACTTATAAGTAACATTGCAATTAAGATCCATCATACTCTGCTTAGAACCGTTCTCAGCTCATAAGTGTTTAATGTTTCACGAACCAATCTCAATAGCTTCAAGTAATTCGTTCAATGTTGGGGACATTAGATCCCCAGAAATCACTTGATACAAGTCCTAATTTCGGATTTTTTTTACGTTTTCGCACATCGGCTGATCGGTTGACCTTGAGATTACATTTCCCACCCAGAAAATCTTTGACTGTTATTGGTTGATGTATTATTTTAGTACACTATTTTCGTGGCTCTCCTAAGCACATTTCTATCATATATATAAATAAACTCGATTTGTTTGCTTGTGTCAGGGATGTTAGATCCCCAAAACTCGCTTGGTAAATGCCATATTGGATTTCACGTTTGCGAGCATAGGCTGATTAGTTGACCTTGAGATCACACATTTCCCACCAGGGAAATCCATGGCTGTGATTGGCTGTTGTGTATTTTAGTGTCCTGTTCCAAGGACGTTTCTATGATGTATAATTAAACGAGAGTTGTATGCTTGATTGCATAGTGTCATTGCTGGGTGTTTGTATAATATACTTTCTACGCTTACCAAGCCTTCTGTTTACAGCTTGGGATTCAAGGTAGCCTATCTGGACGCTGGTAAAAGTCTCGTTCGCGTTTATCGATTGAGGTGAACTCGTAATGGCTCGTAATGACCTAGTGACGAACCCTACAGCTTGTCAAGTTCACATTTTCTGGGTGCTTGTAGAATACACTGTCTACATCTTGTCAAGACTTCTCCCACTACTTAGTGCGGCCTTGGGATGCTCAAATTAGAGTAGCCTATCGTGTCACTGGATCACGTGTCTTCGCTCTCGTTTACCGAGAAAGGTAAACTCGTACTACCATTCAAGCATATCAACTGGTGACGAGCATATTACTCAAAAAGCAATTCACTTATTTACTTCAATGAAATTCTTGTTTGCTTTCTTTTATTTAATTCATAATAAAAAAATGAAACTTTGATGTGTTTTCATTCATTTTCTGTCTGTTTATTTCAAAACGAATCTTCCAAATTGTTCCTGTGAAGCTTTTCAAACGTTTAAGTGTGGTAGATGAAAATTTCGTCTATAAACAGCATCGATCACTGGCAAGTAAGTAATATTTCAATGACTATTGAATGGTTACTTTACGATTTTTATTCCAATTCGATTTTTTTTTCTTAATATTATGCCTAACCACCGACTGCCTCGACGAGCATTGTTTTGTAGTGTAGGAATAGGTTGAAAGAAAGCTAAGGGGCAGCTAAACCAAAACATGGCAGCAATCCATGAAGTCATTGACAAGTGTACTGAGTCATGTTGGTAGGTGTAGGCTACCTGGTTGGGGTCCGCGAGATGATAATAATCGATGGTTAGATACCCTGAATGACATGGCTCAGAATCGTTTGCAATGTCGTCGGTGCATTTATTCTTTGTGTTCTCTCAAATCCTAATCTTCCGCATTCTTTAACACCTCTAGTTTTGACTTTCTAAACTTTTCTCACTGAATCATACTTCTTGAATAATATCCTCTAATCCTAACCTCTCCGACTACTTCTAATACCTTTTACTACCTCTACTACTACTATGAATTTGAATTGACAATTATATCTGTGTGCTGATGTGGTATGGCAACATGAACTGATGTACTTACGTACGAAGTTCTGCGTTGCATCTGACTGACTGATTGACTGAATATTATGGATTTTTTGGAATATATTGATTTATTTCAGTGTACTCTACTTCATTTGATTATATCTAACGACTACCTCTTTCTACTGAAACAGTATGATACAAACAATGTTTAAATTCGTTGTTGGTCGCGAACGCCTAACATCTGGATTACTGAGCCGGCATCAAACGGTGTTAATGTCTAACTCTAATCAGTCCAAGGATTTTGCAAAACGACACCCATTTTCTTTGGTAGGTATTGCTTACACCCTACAGAGGTGAACTGCACTGGTCACGTATTCTCGATAGAAGCTAGTCACTAGTGAGCACATTGTACGATTTCTCAATTAGGCTACTTCCAAGTTTCTTATAATGGTCTAACCAATGATTGATTCATGATTTCTATGTGTAAAAACAATGACCTCCATACCACATTAGCACAGAAACGCAAATGTCAAATCAAATCCCATAGTGATAAACATAGTAGAGGTATTAATGTTATAATAAAGAAGACTAGGGTTTAAGATATTATTCAAAAAATATAATTCAGTGAGATAAGGTTAGAAAGACAAAGGTAGAGGTGCTGACGAATCCAGAAGATTAGGATTTGAGAGAGCTCAAAGAGTGGATGCACCTGCGCCATTGCAAACGATTTTGAGCCATGTCGTTCAAGGTCTCTAACCATTGATGACTTTCGTCTCGCGGACCCCAACCAGGTAGTCTACATCTACCAACATGACTTAGTCCACTTGTCAGTGACTTCATGGATTTCTGCCATGTTTTGGTCTGGCCGCCCCTAATTTTCTTCCAACCTACTCCTACGCCACAAAACATAGCTCGTCGAGGCAGTCGGTGGTTAGGCATACGTAACACATGTCCCAACCACCTCAACTGATGAAGTTTCACCACTTCATCTATTGATCTGCCATTCTTACCTATCACCCCTTTCCTAATAACAGCGTTGCTCACTCGGCTGTCCCTTGATATACGAGCAATGCTTCTTAAACATCTATGATCAAATACTAGTAACCTACGAACATCTTCTACTCTTAACGGCCATGTTTCACAGCCATATAAGAGAACGGAACGAACTGCTGCGCAGTACACCCGCCCTTTGGTTAGCGAACGGATATCACGCCTACGCCATAAGTGACGCAGGTTGGCAAAGGCCAATCGAGCTTTCTGTATCCGAGCTGAGATTTCGTCAGTCACCAGGCCGTCAGCACTGATGAGACTCCCCAGATAAGTGAAGTTATCAACACGCTCAACTACTTCACTCCCTATCACTAGTTCAGGTGCCGAAGCAACCCAGTCTTGAAGCAACGTTTTGCATTTCGAGGGGGAAAACCGCATCCCGAACATGCTCGCATTGTTGCTTAGGGTAGTCAGAAGACTCTGCATTTTATCAGCGTCTTCACCGAATAGAACTATGTCATCGGCATATTCTAGATCAGTAAGCGACTTTCCTGGTAAAAGGTCAACCCCTGATTCAAGTGTTCTCTATGGGCTTAAAAATAACTCTCAAGCTATTTTAATTTTTTTTTCACTGTTAAAAGTAAAGAAAGTTACACTTGAATAATATTGAAATGATAGTTGCGTTGCATAATTGTTCAGCTTTTTACTTACTTCTTTGGTTACGTCTATTATCCCTAATGGAGAATAGGCCTCCGACTAGCATTCTCCATCCTACTCTCTGTCATGAGCCTTCCTTTCATATTCTGTTCATTCTTTGCATGTTTGTCGCCATTTTTTCACGTAATATGCGTTGACCTTGAGGATTCCAAGTGAAGACTTACCTTGTGTAATGCATTCGGGTGCTTTCTTCGATATGTATCCTATCCACTTTCAGCGCTTATTCCTGAATTCTTCCTCAAATGGAATGGTATTTGTTCTCTTCCACAGGTTGTTGTTACTGATAGTGTCTAACCAACGGATCTGAAGTAGTTTACGTACACAGCTGATAATAAATACTTGTATCTTCTGGCTGATGACTTTCGCAGTTCTTCAAGTTTCCTCCCCATATAGTAGAACTGTCTTGACATTTGTATTTGGTGTTTGTTGTTAGTTAATTTGAGTTGTGGATGTTGTTCAACTGTAGAAATGCAGCCCTTTACTTTTTGATCTGCGCCTTCACATTTGCATCAGATCCACCTTGGTCGTCAATGATGCTACCCAGCTATGTAGAAGTTTTTATATCCTACAAGGCATCTCCGTCAATTGTGATCTGGTTGGTGTATATTTGTGTGCTATGAGAGAATCTTGCTTTTGCCCTTGTGTATGTTGAGACCTACTGCCGCTTCACGCGTCGTCTTCTCTTGTATTTGTTGTTGTATGTGTGATAAAAGAGCCAGACCACTTGTCCAAATATGAACATAATTGTTCATATATATTAAACCTGTGAGTGGTTTTGTTGACTTGAGAACACACACTGACAGGATAACTAGTTGCCTATTACTTGCTGGCTTATTGTTAAATTTCCATTCTGATTGATAGTTGATCGTTTATAATAAGACGTATTTCAAAAATTAAATGGTTATAGGGGCAGTAATTACCATATAAAAATTGCTCAAGTCGCTCAAACTACTTAGATTGATCAGATTTATACGTTAACACCGTTAAACACTGACCGGCTAAATGGTCTAGAACTTAAACATTCACGTGCAAAACCAAAGCGCCTTGGTTCGAATCCTACAACTGGTTAGAAGTCGTGGATACCCATTGATGAGTCCCATGAGGCAATCATTCAATGCTTCCAAGTTCCGAACAGGTGCTCTTGATTTCAGTGTGCCGAAAAAAACCACCATCTATGTTAGTGGGACATAGATGGAATTAAAGCATGACTGCGTTAGCTGCGCGCTGATTGGCTATTTTCCTATCCAATCAGCGCCTCTTCCATACTTGGAGAACAGGGTAGAAAATTCTCGTACTGTTAGCTGCATGCTGATTGGCCAAATCTAATCCAGTCGATCACGTGAATTACTACTATCCAGAAGCTTCTCATGTAAATACTATAAAGAAACTAACATTGTATCTATTTTCGCCTTCGCCATCACCTTTGGCTTCCTATTTCCATTTAACCTTTGCTATTTGGAATATAATCTTTTCCTGTTCAACCGTGTTTTTTGATTCTTTGGAACTTGTCCAGTGACATTGTGTGGTCACAGAGAATAATACTAAGCAATAGAAATTAGCTGGGAATTAATTATTTATTTAAGCAAGCGTTACAATAATCTACCTAATCCAAAATCATACACTTATAACAAGCATAACTTTTGTTAATTAATGTAAAAAAAAGGTGTTGTGATTTGTTTAGTTTTTTCATATGAAAAAAAAACAATTTTTAAGCACACAATTATGATAATTTTTTTGTCAAAATCATAAGTTCTTTAATGATGCATTTTAATCACATTGTTCGTTTGTGCGTTCAATAATTCCACCAGCATTGAAACTTTAAAAATACAAAACTTGAGTACTTTTTTTCGCTTACTTTTTCTTATAAAAGTTTTACAGAATGTTTTTTTTCATTAGCTAAAATTTTTCCAAAATTGATGTGTGGAAAAAGTGTAAGATGTCAATACATTTTTGAATCAATCCATTTGATATTGAGATGATGCTGAAGCTTACGATCAATTGTCAAACATGACTGCTCTCGCCCAATAGTACATGTTAACTTGGTTGGTGGTCGGGTTTGCCTATCGTGATGACTCAACTGAGTTAGTTATATTATCTGGAATATGTGCTCCCGCAGGTTCTACCATGCCAAGCAGGTCGATTGGAGAACGATGAGACTAAAAGCAGCTATCCAAGGTCTGAGGGCGAAGTCGTACTGCTGACTGACTGTGGAGGGGTGTGACAGAAGTAAGGTGTTTCCCTCGGACAACCAGCATCTGCAGTGATGCTGCTGGCTTCTCACAAGGAAGGAAAGGTTAGAAAAGGTTGACCCTAAAAATCTCACACCTCACCTTACCTCACAGATCTCCGTCTCCTGAGGTAAGGGCTGTTAAACAAGAACGGAGCTAACACTTTGAATACTACCCATAAAATGTGTGTGCTTCACCAGTCTGAAACACTCGTCTTTCGAAATCTGAGATCACGCTCCAGGATCTCTAAGACCAAGGCTACTCTACCTTCCTCTTCAGTTTCCTCAAGAAACACCCTTCCACGGAGTGGGCAATCGGGAATTTATATCCGCCTTCATACCCGTAACAGCACACGCGACTAAATTGGTCACAGTTAAACACGTGATAACTTCTGTCAAGGCTAATCGCATATTAAAGTTCCTGTTGCAATTTAATACGCGACCGGAAGTGTTTACTAAAACTACATAATATCCTCTCTTTCTATTTCTTACAGTAAATCTCAACTATAAATCTTTTAAGTTTGTAAACAAAAGAATGACAAACCTACTGGTGAAAACTCTGTCTGTAATTTCAAAAACCAACACTCAGAACATCAGCTTAACTGTTCATGCATACTTTTATGCATAGAGTTGTAGAGATAGTTGAGTTTCAGGGAAATCATTATTCAATCAGTGTTAGACCACCATTAAAAACATGGAAGCACTGAAAAACAGCTCTTTCACCCTGGTGTAGGACACATCAACACCAGTGCACATTCACGACTCCTGCAACTCACAGGATTCGAACCTACGACCTTCAACACTGCACGCGAACGTCTAATCTCTGAACTACTGAGTCAGTATCTGACAATATATTAATGTCTATGCAGGGTCTTGCCTAACCTCATTCATTGACTTCCGTCAACATTAATTCACACCCCAACAAGATTGAACTCCACTTGTCTGAACTCCAGCTTATCTGACTGAATTATACTTCTTGAATAGTATCTTCAAACCGTAGTCTTCTTCATTACCATTAATACCTCTACTATCTTTATCACTATGGGATTTGATTTGACATTTACTTCTCTGTGCTAATGTGGTATGGTAACATGAACTGATGTACATACGTACGAAGTTCCACGTTGCATCTGACTGACTGAACTCCACTTGTCAAAATAATTTTTAATAATTTCTTTAATTTTTCTGTTTCTTTGTTTAATTTAAAAATTCAGTGAAAATATTCAGTAATTATATAACTAGACGTTCATCGAATGTAACACATTTAAAATCAAATTTATGTGAAATGCGTTCTGTACCAATGTCAAATGAAAAACAATTACGACGTCGTATTGATTATGAATGGCAAAAATCATTTTCACCATTAGCTATATTAGGTGCACATAATAGTTATTGGAGTAGTGATGAAGTGGCATTTTTTATTTTATATCAAATATTTGGACAACCGCATACTTTACGTTGAAAAAAAAACAGAAAACAAAACTAAAAATCAAAAAATTCATGTTTTTTTTAAATAGTTGACAATTTTATATACACAGATGTGTAAGTTTTGTGATAATTTCCTTTGTTTGTTTTGTTTTAATGCTTTCTTGTTGCATTTGTTCAATTATTCATGATTCAAACAAAATTGTTCAATGTTTCATAGTTTTTTTTCCTGTGCTTTCAATTATTCTTGTTATTATTATTATTATTATTTCTATTTTCAAAAATGTAAGTTTCATCATTTAACGAGAAATTAAAAACACAAATAATCCAGATAGATTT